CGTTGGGGCTGCAATTTAAGCCAGACAGACTCGACGTTCTCCTCAGCTAAATTCCTGAGCACCGAGAATGGAATGTTGGCATGTACATAGCACACAATCCCTCCACCTGATGTATGGTCTCAGTTATGTCTTATTGGGGGGGGGGGGGTGATAGTGATCTAACAACAGGACGCTATCAGGAACACTGTTAGGACACCATGATTCTGTTATGCAACACACATCGACTTTATGTTCAGTTAGTGTTACACTTAACTCATCAAGTTTTGGAATCAAAGTTCTGGCGTTCGCATTCATCAGGGTCGGTATATTAAGTTTATTGGTTTTAATTGCCACCAAGTTACTCACGCAGACAGCCGGCTGTTGCTTTCGAGGCCGCATATTTCTACAGTTAACCACGACTCTGATGGGGCGTTGGCGAGTAATTCCAGCCCTGGTACCCCGCTTGATATATTTATTGCATAGACCATGCAACTTCAGCATAGACCACACTTTCGCTGGTAATCTGCCTACTGCTCCAGTCTGTTTCATCATATGGTTCCAATGCGGAGTAACTGTTGTGCGGTGTAGCGTAACATGGTGGTGCAACGTGACTTGCCCAAATGACGACACAGTCACATTATCCAAAACCTCCAACAATTTGCTGTATTGCAATGTCTTAAAAACTCACTAATTATCACACAACATATGACAAAGGCACAATACGACAAAACAAGACGTAACACGCAAAAAAACGGAATTTTTGCGGAGCAAAAACGAGAGGGTGCTGCCACACAGCGCACCACTAGACACTAGACATTACCAGTCTAGTCACAAGTACATCACAAGTCACATCACAAGTCCAGTCAAAAGTACTTCACAAGTACATTACAAGTCCAGTCGCATGTCCAGTCACAAGTCCAGTCACAAGTCCAGTCACAAGTATAACGCAAGTCTAGTCACAAGTACATCACAAGTACATTCACAAATACATCATAAGTCCAGTCACAAGTACGTCATAAGTCCAGTCACAATTACATCACAAGTCTAGTCACACATGCATCATAAGCCAAGTCACAAGTACATCACAAGTCTAGTCACAAGTACGTCACAAGTTTAGTCACAAGTACATCACAAGTCCAGCCACACGTACATTACAACTCTAGTCATAGGTACATCACAAGTCCAGTCACAGGTACATCACAAGTCCAGTCACAAGAACATCACAAGTCTAGTCACAAGTACGTCACAAGTTTAGTCACAGGTACATCACAAGTCCAGTCACAAGTACATTACAAGTCTAGTCACAAGTACATCACAAGTCCAGTCACAGGTACATCACAAGTCCAGTCACAAGAACATCACAAGTCTAGTCACAAGTGCATCATAAGCCCAGTCACAAAAACATCACTAGTCTGTTCACAAGTACATCGCAAGTCTGGTGGCAAATACATCACAAGTTTAGTCACAAGTACATCACAAGTCCAGCCACAAGTACATCACAAATCTGGTGGCAAGTACATCACAAGTTTAGTCACAAGTACATCACAAGTTTAGTCACAAGTACATCACAAGTCCAGTCACAAGTGAATCACAAGTCCAGTCACAAGTATATCACAAGTCCAGTCACAAGTAAATCACACGTCTAGTCACAAGTACATCACAAGTCCAGTCACAAGTATTTCACAAGTCTAGTCACAAGTACATCACAAGTCTAGTCACAAGTACATCACAGGTCCAGTCGCAAGCATGTATCACAAGTCTTGTAATATAGCTCTATGAGAACATCAGAGTCCAGCCTAAAGGATCGATACCCAAGTAGGAAAATTACAATAAAAATAAAAAACAACCCTTAGTACAGCTAGTCAGACTGCCTGTGAAATTATTCTCTCTGGCATTACATGCTGTCATTGTGAAGAACACAATAAAAGAAGGCCATTTCTAAATAGTGTGTCAAATGACACATTTTTTGGGAGTTTTCGTTAGTAGTTGGTTTGTGATCGGACTACTCTGTGAATGGGTGTGCACAAGTGTTGACATGACTCATTCAGCGGTTTAGTGTGCAACATTGCAAAGCTTCAATCAGCTGAATGAGAACAAACGTGTCTCAGCAACTTTTGAATAGAAATTGAGATCCTAGAATATTGTTTCCTCTGAAAACATAGCATTCACATATCTTTAACTTCATTTGGGGTAGTTGTTAAGCACCCATCTTTAGATTTTGAGAACTTTTGTTGCTTCAAATGGGAAAAAAAATCACAAATGACAAATGATCTACCCTTCCTTCAATTTTCACTGCTGCAAATTCTCAAGTCCATCATATTTCAAAGGAAACATGAGATAACTGTTTCAACCAATCTCTTATCTTTTTCCTTTCTTTTATTTCAGGGCAAAGGTGAAAGTCTGACGTACTGGCTCGAGGGACATGATCCAAGCTACAAGATCGACCAAATCAAGCCACCCAAACAAAACTTGTTAACAACCAGTATATTATCCCAACATTATCTGCAACGCATTTGGATCAGCAATTTTTTGTAAAGAGGTAAAAAGCATAATCAGCTATTATACCACAGCGTTTGTAGGTCTATTTGAAAAACCTAACAACAAATTCAAATTAACACACAATTGTGTGTTCACCAACAGATTTGTTGTTCCCGATTACAGCTTTCGTTTAGCAACTTTAAGAAAAAGATTCAGGAAAAAAAAAGTTTAGGCCTCATCACACTTGTACAATAACTAACTTTGATCAAGTCACTTATTTTTTTTTTTTAACAAAGACTGAAGTATTTTGTAGTCGCCTTTTAATCTACTACCATGTGGAAGTTGTAACAAAAATTCCGTCATCAAACAAACAGACTGTGAGTTCATAACTATACTGTTGAGAGTCACTAATTTGGTATTAAATTGTATTCAAACTAGTGATGCGTTTAAGAAAATATTCTTTGTCTGTACCATCCAAGCTTGGGAAAAAAATAGCAAAGTGGTACTGCTTTGTTTGTTTGAGTTCTCATATGGGCTTACATCATTTGACTTGGTGCCCTATCATTTGCCTTGTTGCCCTTGTGCTCCTTAGTGCTAAATATTTGAGGCGGTGCAGCACTAAAGGGCACTGTTGTAGCTACAGAAAATTTTAAAGAAAAAGAGAAATTGACTCAACAGATCAAAATTGACGCACAACGATTTTTTATGGCTGAATGGACAATAATGCAAGTGGGGGATTTTTGTTTTCTTTATATTTTCAGATTGAGTGATATTAATAACATTTGATAGTCACTACTTATGTTTTAAGGAAATTGTATAAAAAATATGGAGTAAGGTCTAAGGTATGTTTAAAGTAAAACCAATGGGCTTGTTTCATTGTTTTTGTCATGTAATGCTGCGGCCGGGTGAGGTGGAGTAGAGGGCGCTATTCAGGACTTTCTTCTGTCACCTTGCAAGATGGAATGATGCCAAGTCACTATAAATTTATATTTCCCGGATTCGTTTGTATCAAAGATATATAACTAGGCATCCTATCCTATCTACAAGGATGGGACTAATAAGGGAGCAAAGACACTTCTTCAGTGAAACAATAATTTATTCTTAAAAACTCCAAGATTTTTTTGAACCAATTTGACATCTGTATTGATAGGACTCAGCTATCATTGCTTGTTCATCTGTCAACTGCTACGAATACTGCAAAATCTTTGTTTGTATACACGTTATCCGACGCAAACTGGTTAACCTATTTTTTATTTAACCTTGTTCCACTCGAATTTGCAGGATAGCTAATAATGAATACAAGTAAATGTCTCAATCAGTATCAAACATTTTTTTCCCAAATTGACAATATTCAAATTTCTTGACCAGGTGATGGCAGATCTACCAGCTCACTTCACATCAGAGAGCTCTCTTGAGAAGCACTATAGAAGCACTATAAGGCCCAGGAGAAGGACTGCTTCTCACGGCTAGAACAGACTCAGACCAGAGCTCCCTTGAGAAGCACTATACGGCCCAGGAGAAGGACCGCACCAAGTACATCACTACCTTGCTGATGCTTCACAGGGATGGTGCAGACTCAGACCAGAGCTCCCTTGTACATCGATCACTACCTTGCTGGTGCATCACAGGAATTGAAGAGACTCAGACCAGAGCTCCCTTGAGAAGCACTATACGGCCCAGGAGAAGGACCGCACCAAGTACATCACTACCTTGCTGATGCTTCACAGGGATGGTGCAGACTCAGACCAGAGCTCTCTTTAGAAGCACTATACGGCCCAGGAGAAGGACCGCACCAAGTACATCACTACCTTGCTGATGCTTCACAGGGATGGTGCAGACTCGACCAGAGCTCCCTTGAGAAGCATTATACGGCCCAGGAGAAGGACCGCACCAAGTACATCACTACCTTGCTGGTGCTTCACAGGGATGGAACAGACTCGAAGTACTGCAAAGTAAGACTTTTTCATATTTGAAGAGAAAATGCTCTAACTGTACTTTAAAACGGTTGAGGGAGTAACAGCAAAAGATCTTTCTTGCCCGATTTTTATGCTCAACACAATAAAACTAAGACAGAAAAAAGTGGAAAATCTGTCAAAAGCAGGATTCATCACACTGAATGTTTTTGGGGACTTTTTGATCGGGTACTACCCGATCACCTTTTTGAAATGGTAATAATTATTCTTTTTTTTTTTTTTGCTGGACAATAATTCTTTACAGGTTTTCTCCTACCTACGTGAACTCGCTCGACCTTTACTTCCGGGTCTACTGGAAGGTCAAAGTTGGGTGAATTTAAATTAAAGACAGAATAGCCTCAAAATCAAAACGAACCACATCTTTTCCAAACAGTTCACGTGATGACGATAAAACCTACATGTAGATGGAATTTGAACCCTGGTCCGGAGATGTAAAAGAAAGTGTGATGTCATCATGACATCACCTGGTATCAAATTACAAGCTTACTTTTAATTAGGCTATAACTTTATAATGGAACTTTTAATTAGGCTATACATGTAACTTTATAATGGAACAGTCTTATTTTTTGTTGTTTCAGACATTGCTACTGGCAATATTTTGTTCCAGCATGTCCAGGGCACATACCATTTGACCTTTACTTCCAGTGTAACCGGAAGTACAATGATAATAAATTTAACTTGAAGACGGAAGCATTTTGCTACAGTTATATAAATTATGCAAATATTTAGTTAGGAATGTCCAATACAAACATTGGCATGATGACATAATTACACGAAAGGGCGCGTACCAGTACATTCACGCAATGCGTCTCTCCAACTAGGGCTCTCAAAAGTTGTCAAAAAAGGGACAATCTACTGTTTGTGCACGTAATCTTTGTAATCACCCTAGATATACATGCACCTAGGGCATGTAGGGCCTTGTACTTTTCAATCATATTCTCAAAGGTGGCTTAAGTTCAAAACGTAAAATGCACTCAAATTTGATCAAATTGTCTACTCAGATTATTTATTTATTTATTTATTTCAACCGGATCCAACAGCGACCAAATCGCCAATTACAGTAGCACCAAAAATAATTGCAAACAAATAGTGTCACCAGAGTTACCCTTTACATCTTGCGCTTAACTTTCCAGGTTGTGGGTCTCTGGTCAGACCAAAGTTCTGGACTTGATGTAGTGATGCATTTAAAAAAAATATTCAATTTTCAACCAGTTACTTGTGAACTGACTGCAAAAAACATCACCAGTCACTCGGGATACATGGCCTACATGTACAGTATATAAGTGTTGTACATGTAGCTGAATCCAACACTATCACACATAAACGTGAACAAAACTGAATACAAGTATTCGCAGTCACACATACCGGTACATGTATGGGAAGTCAAAATAAACCGTTTTTGTTAAATTTAAGTTGGATTTGAAAAGGCGTCTCTACAAATCCCAGGATTGGGGAAAAATTATATAAAATAAAAAGTAAGAACTACAATGTAGTAAGAAGTTTTCGGCTACCAAAAAAAGGGGGGGGGGTGGAATCTGTAGGCCAAGAATACATAAATTTTGATCCGTATTTGTGTCTTGACATCCTCGTGTAAGTTGTTAGTCTTTATGTTACAGTGCAGGCTCTAAAATTGGCATTAAAAAGTCGGTATATCAAGCAGAAATTGCAATGTGGCAGTGACCTACCGGTATCTCTTTTACAAATTTGTTCCCCTCGACTGGCTTTAGTAAGTCACATTGTGGCGCTGTTTTCAAGATGGCTGTGGAATGTGAAACTTACTTTCTAAGCATGTCAAGTGGACAACGTGTCTTTGGATTCTAAAATGGCACATTCCAGATGAAAGTGCACAATCATTAAAACAATACGTGCAGTAAGACCTGCACCTCAGAAAAAGTTTACCCATATTTGTTATAACCTATGAAATCGCATTGGTACTACTGAAAGTTTAATCCAATAAGTCAATGCAAGTCAAGGATTTAAGGGTATTTTGCGAATTGAGTATTTTGAACTAAATGATTTTCTTGACACTAATAATTTGCAGATCAGATTGTACAGTTTGAAACATGCACATGTGCAACCTTTAACGACTGTAAGTCAAAAGTATTTGAATGAATTTTGCTATCCACACAAACTACACATTCTGCTGAAATAAGTTCGAATAAAAAGGCTTTATAGGCCTAGTTGTTTGCAAAACAAAATACATATTGCTTTCATTTATATTATTATTTGATTTTAATAATCGAAAGATATTTTGTGTACATGTACATGTAGATTGTCTGAGCAAAGGAACATACCTCGGCTAGATATGGATATTTACACAAAAACCGTGTCTAACTAAATTCATAACATACATGTAGTAGAAGACTAGAAGTGTTCATTTAATATTAAACATTTGATGTTTAATCCAATAAATTTTAATCCAATTAAAACACTGCCAATTAATTAACTGTGTGAAGTATAAATCGTCTGGTTATGTGTTTTCGTTCTGACTTTTCTTTGATTGGCCCTGAGGGGCGTACTTCAGGGTCAGAAGCGCAAGTTGGTGTTGTAAGGGTTCGTTCTCACTGGATTCCTCGATTAAAGCTTCGTCTGCTTTGGCCCACCTGATGTACCGACAGTGTTTCATCTCTTCAAACAGTTCTCCGTCCTCCAAGTCCTGAAGGTTGGCGACATCGTCCATCTGCAGAGACTCCCGCCGGAACTTGCGGTAGCTTTGCATTTTCTGCACCTCATCTTGTAGCGTGTCGAAGGTGGTGGCATGCATGATCTGCGTGCTGACCCTGCGCATTTGACGTCTCGGTGTTGAGCGTGATGTGGACAAGGCAGTCTGTTGCATGAGGGTGGACTGCCTTTCTATTTTGGCACCAGGATTGTTGCTGATCCCACGTGACTCGGGTGAAAAGGCTGGCGAGGAAAACTTACTGTGGGCCAGCGAAGGGGCCTTGGTGGGAGTGGACGCCCGCGAGAGGACGCTCATGTCAAGACCCGACTTGGGTCGCTCATCACGGTGGCCGTGGTGTGGTGATATGTCATCAATGCGCATAGACGGCGCTGGCATTTCACCTTTTGAAGTCATGCGACGGACGTGGTTCTTCAGCTGTGCTTTGTACATGTCCAGGTAGTTGGTTCGCAGCACCTTGCTATTGGAGTCCAGTTGCTGCTCGGCAATGGTGGCGCAGGTACCGACACTTGTCTGAGGGCGTCTTTTCTTTGGCCGCGGTCTTCGGGAGTAAGACATCGGGCTGGATTGAGGACGTATGCCGAGCTTCTTCATGACCATTCTCACCGATTCCTCAGCCGCTGCCGTACTCTCATTGTCTGCCAGGGCTTTGATTGCCTCGCTGATAACGCTGTTTGTCCTAGTCACCGGTGTTGCCCACTTCCCATCAGTCCTGTCTCCCTGCGTCGGTGTCTCCATCTTCTCTCCAGTGCCACCCGCAGCAGTCGCATGCTCTTCTGTCCCATTGCCTTCTGGAAAGACCTCCACTGCCTCCTCAAATTCCTCCATCACCTTCCGATAGTGATATATCTGGACCTGATCTGATCTCATCGAGGACAGTCTTCTCTTGGACATCTTGGTGTATTCTCTGGGAGGCGGTTTGCTGGTGGCCACCGATTCAGCGTGAGATGCATAGTGCTGTTGTCCCCTGACTCTCTTCTTAGGAAGCAGGGTGGCTAGTTCAGCTGGGGTGTGGAGAGTCGTGGCGCGGGGACGGGCCAGGTATGATGGCATCCCCTTGGGCTTGTCCAGCAGCCGACGGTAGTGGCGCTTGGTGCTGCCCGGTCCACCAGTCATGGTGACGACCTTCCGTTTAACAAGTCAAAGGAAAACAGCTTGTATAGAAGAATACAACTTTTGTACAAGTATCCTTGGTTGATCTGACTCACTGCTTATCCGTTAAGTGAAGTTTTGTATCTCATTGATAATGATGCACCATAATCTGATGATGTCAGTATCCTGCAATCAAAACAAATGTTTAATGTTATTATTATTTAAGCCTTAGTATCACTTTAATTCAACGCAAGGACGATAACACTATCGCATTGGTAGCAGACCTGCCAATCACTGACAGCGGCCATGCACGGTGAGTGACATTCAGCTGTCCACGGGCGACCAAAACCCGGCCAAATTACTGACTTGACTTCAAGTCGTAAGGTTTCGCCTGCGAATGGACACAATGTAATTGTTATCGACAAATCCACTTAGCTACAGGGATCCGTGTTTTCAAAGGCAGCAGCCAACCCAGAAATTGAAACACAAACACATTAATTGTGCCATTTAATATTAATTTGTTGCCTAATAAACACGAGAAACCTTCCTTCGCTTTCGTAATACACAATAAGATTTTTCCGGGTGGGCGGTTTCTAAAATAAAAGTTACACTGTTCCTCACTTTGATGGCCCTTTTTCAATGTGAAGAACAGTCACTCGTTGGCATTACGGATACACCTTACCACGAGTATCCTTGAGCAAAAAAAATAATTGCAAAGACATGAAGCAGAACGCGACAACGGGCCTGGAGTACAATTTCCATTGAAGAAAACCCTGTGTCACAATGGGCTTATGCGCTTGCGAGCAACGAACCCGTCGATTAGCTGACTTATTGATGTCCGTCCACCAACCTCCCGCCAAGAACCCATGGAAATACACCAAACGCGGGGAGAATAGCTGAACCACGTGCCTATTATTATTAATGTCCTTACAACTTATTGAGCAGCAACACCCAACAGTGAACTCCGTAGCCAGGAAAAACAACATACAGAACACCAACAAAAGAAATGTTTTCACTCCACGTCTCATACATGTACACATGTCGTTTCCCGAAATTTGATCTTTTTTTGCGACATAAGTTAAAAACATATGTATCTCCCGAAAGTCAGCACATGCTCAGAAAAAGCCACAGAAATCTCAATTGATATTATACCCAATTTAACGGATAAAAATCTGTATACAGATATTTCACAAATTAGGACTTGCGCGCTAAGGCCAAAAAAAAGTCTTCGGTTTCTGGTATGCGCGCGCGTCGCCGTAGCCATGCGCGTCGGCAAAATGAAAAAGGTTTTTTTTTCAATGAAAGATGATGTCTCAAAACCACCAAACTCACTGGTTTGACTGGAATCCTGCTGCTGCACAATTTTAACGTATTTTTAGATGGGGTTATGATCGAGAATAAGCTTTACAATGTATGTGGCCTCTCTGGTCTCCCATAATATTTGCACTAAGTTTAGTCGGGCACCATTTGCAGTCATCAGCCGACATTTGAAGCAAAAAAAAAAAACAGGTAAAAAAAAAAAAAAAAACGAGTTGCCGCACCACTTTTTGGGCAAGCTCCATACCAGAAACCGGAGACTTTTTTGGGGCCTTAACTTATTAATTTTTTTTTACACAGCGAATTTCCTCCCATGTATTTCAAGATATGATGCAAATATTACACATTTCCCGGCGCATTATACCTTGCGGCACAGGCTACACCATTATAGAATACAGTTCTCGATAATTCATGGTTATACCCTCTGCCCGATTGGGACCTCTGACTCACATTATCAGAGGGAACCGAGGAAATATCAACCCCACGATACTCATTCATCAGTTTGGGTGTTTATTTACAACACCGGTCGTTTCTTTTAGTTCCTTGTCAGGTGGGAAATTTTGGGGAATTCTTTTTAAAGGGGCCTTCGGTCTCCGGTAGCGTTTGATTTTACAACATCAACGACTGACTGAGAGGGTTCAGACCAAATATTGCCCCAAAAAAGGAAAGGGATAACTTGACTGTTCGAAAATGTATACAGTTCGGCGAAGTTTTCGGGGAACAAACTTAAAACATTATCATATTTCAGAAAAATGGGATAATGTTACTTGACGTGACAGAATCTTTCGTAACTCGTAAAAATTGTATCTTATCTTACCTCAAAAGTACTTTTGACATCCATGTGAGAGCAATTGTTAATGGCGGCGTTTTACAGCTACTAGCAACCTTGTAGATATCCAACTATTATGTTGTGTATGCAGACTGCAGTGATCTATTTATAGTGCAACCAGTGTATGACGTCATTTGTTAATCGTCTGTACATTCTAGTACGTGTGTACTCTAGTGTGTTATGGCATGACATGGAACGTGAATACAATACGAAGCAACCAGAAAAGTATCCCTAATCTCAGTCTCTCCTTAATCGGGTATTATTGACGTACGAACACAACAGTGGCGACGAGGATGAACCTTGAACACACGGGTTACGCACAGGATTATCTACGGACTATAAATTGTGTGAAACGACCCTGAGTTTTCACGAACTTTTTGCAAAGTTTTCTCGACACGTACGGTGATAACTTTTGCACACACGATGCGCGGTACAGTACAACGTACATGTACATCGCCATTGGTCCATGCATGGTTGACGACGCATAGTAACGATACGTTCTACGATAAACGATAATGGCGACTTTTCAGAGAACTGTGTTCGAGGAATTTAACCCAGTGGACGGTGATATTGATACATATTTGGAGAGACTTGATCAGTATTTCATTGCTGTGGACATTGCGGAGACAGAGGCAAACGCTGTCAAACGCAAGGCTATTTTGTTGAGCAGCATTGGTTTCACGGCATATAAGACACTTAAAGACTTGTCTTTTTCGCAACAACCCAAGGAAAAGTCATTCGAGGATTTGTGTAAACTGTTACGGGGACACTACAGACCCAAGAGACTGGCAGTCGCAGAGAGATTTCGATTTCATAATGCTAGACAAATGCCAGGACAATCGATCTGTGAATACGTTGCTCATTTGAAGAAAATGGCTGTATATTGTGACTTTGCGGGGGATCAACTGCAGGAGAGTTTGCGTGTGGGCTGCAGTCTGAGAGCATCCAAAAGAAGCTGCTCGCTCGCAACTACAATTTCCAACAAACTCTGGATCTCGCTCTCGCAGAGGAGGCTGCTGCAAAGAATGTGAGAGACATGGGCACCGTGGAGACTAAACCAGTGAATAGGGTGACTTCTCACTACAAGCGTAATCAAAAATGGCAAAAGCCAAGGTCATCGCAACCAAGGAAGCATTGTGACTGCTGTGGACTGAACAATCACAATCGCGATGATTGCCGATACAAGAGTGCCACATGCTACAAGTGCAAGAAAGTGGGACATTTGCAGTCAGAGTGCAAGTCTGATAGTAAATCAGGCCCTGCACCACCAACCACGAAATACACGCCCCAACAGCGAACCAAGCCCAAAGGACGCGTTCGCTATGTGGGAGACGACGAAAACCCCCGCGAACTTTACGATCCCACTGATGACGCATATCGCGATGACAGTACATTCGTCGACTCGGTTTTTTACGGTTACGACTTCCGATAATTCAAAAGCGGATACGTCAGGAGACACGACAGCCGATACGTACAGCCGTACTTCAACTATCAAGGTTCCTGTCAAGATCGCGAACATTCCCATACAAATGGAACTTGACACAGGTGCCGCTGCATCAATCATGAGCCAGTCAGACTATTCACATTCCAATGCAACCGGTGAATCGTGTCCTACACACGCTTACGCGGGTGCCCAATTGCGAATTTTGGGCCAACTGGTTGTCGAGGTTCAGTACGGCGACCAGAAAGCAACGTTACCGCTAATCATCGTCCATGCAGACAAGTACGCACCACCCTTGTTGGGCAGGGAGTGGTTGACAGTTCTCAAGCTGGACTGGCCTAATCTGTTTTCTCAGGGTCAATACGGTGTGAATTCTGACCCAATCGCCGAGTTGAAAAGTGAATATAAGGACATTTTTCAGCCAGAGTTAGGCACAGTACGTGGAGTTAAGGCAACACTGCACGTCAAGGAAGACGCTATTCCAGTTTTCCACAAGGCTCGCACAGTGCCATTGGCTCTTCGCCCCGCAGTCGAAAAGGAACTCGCCAGAATGGAGCAAGAGACAATCATTTACCCAGTTGATTTCAGCGAGTGGGCGACACCCCTGGTGTGTGTACCCAAAGCAGATGGTACGGTACGCCTGTGTGGGGATTACAAAAACACTGTAAACAAATCAATCCACACCGATCAGTACCCCATACCTACTTCGGAGGAAGTATTCAGCAAGCTAGCCGGTGGGGAGAAATTCTCCAAAATCGACTTGAAATGCGCATATCAGCAAATGTTGCTCGACGACAAATCCCAAGAATACGTCACGATTAACACGCACAAGGGACTGTATCGGTATACACGCTTACCATTCAGTATCTCATCGAGTCCTGCAATCTGGCAGAGATTCATCGAACAAGTACTAGCAGGTCTGGACAGCACATAAGCAATCATGGATGATGTGCTTGTTACAGGCAAGACGGATGAGGAACATCTCCGCAACGTAAAGAACGTTTTCCAGCGATTCCGGAAATACGGTCTCAGGTTGAAGACCGAAAAGTGTCGGTTCATGCAGGAGAGCGTAATCTACATGGGACGTCGCATTTCTGCAAAAGGGATTCAGCCAACCGACGACAAGGTTGACGCGATACGCAACGCTCCAGTTCCACAGAATGTCACAGAGCTTCGCTCATGGTTGGGGATGGTCAACTTCCAAGCGCAGTTCCTTCCCAACCTGTCGACCATGGCCCATCCGTTAAACGAACTGCTCGGGGATTGTCCTTGGCAGTGGACGGATGAATGTACCAGGGCATTTGAGGCAGTGAAGGACGCCATCAGTTCAGACAAACTTCTCGCTCACTACGACCCAGCACTCCCTCTCGAGCTCGCAACGGACGCATCACCATATGGACTTGGAGCAGTCATGCTGCATGTGTACGCTGACGGCTCCAGACATCCTATAGCATATGCTTCACGCTCACTCAATAAACATGAGAAGGGCTACGCGTAACTGGACAAGGAGGCCCTGGCAATCATGTTCGGTCTCAAACGCTTCCGCACATATCTCTACGGAAGGAAATTTACCATACGGACTGATCAAAAGCCATTGGAGCGCATCCTTTGTCCCAAGACGTCGATTCCAACCCTTGCAGCACAACGTCTTCAGCAATGGGCTGTAATGTTGTCCGCATTTGACTACAACTTGCAGTTCATTCCATCTTCGCAGAATGTGCTCGCGGATGCGCTCTTATGTCTCCCATTACCCACAATGGAGGAGGACGATGAAGACGCTATCTACAACATCGAAGACAAACGCCTCGATAGCCTACCAGTAACCAGTAAGGAGATCTCACAGGCTACAAGAACTGATCCTGTGCTTTCGCGCGTGTTAGAGTTCACTAAAAGTGGATGGCCAGCAGAGGTAAGGGACGAACGCCTCAAACCTTTCTTCAATCGCAGACACGAACTATCCACGGAACAGGACTGTTTGTTGTGGGGATTAAGAGTTGTGATACCCTACAAGTACGAGAAGTTCATTCTGGGTGAGTTACATGATGCGCATCCAGGAATTGTCAGGATGAAAGAAATTGCACGAAGCTACGTTTGGTGGCCTAACATCGATCGCGACATCGAACAGACTGTTCGTCTCTGTGCTAGCTGTCAACAGACTAGACACCTTCCAGCTGTGGCACCCCTAATGCCATGGGTGTGGCCTAGCTCTTCGTGGCACAGAATTCACATCGATTTCGCGCAGAAAAATGGTCACGATTTCCTGATCGTCATTGACGCATACGCAAAATGGCCAGAGATCTTCCACATGAGTAGCACCACCGCGAATGCAACCATCACGGTGCTGCAAGACTTATTCAGCAGGTATGGCATCCCCTACCAACTTGTCAGTGACAATGGACTGCAATTCACAAGTGAGGAGTTCCAATGGTTCCTCA